ATTCTAACCTGGATACACACAGGTGTGTCCCTGAGTGCGCTACCAATACAGTAAGCCTATGTTTGCATTGCAGGCTGGAAATAAGAGTCTAGGTATCACACTTGAACACATGCAAGGCTGACTCCTACACTATGAAGTCGTACACATACTCTGACACCTACTCTGAAGATGTCCGTTAAAGGGGCTGTCTATTTACTTGATCCATTGCAACCACAGCAGTGCACAGACCTACACTACTCGCATGCATTCCTGGAAACTGTGCACACAGCATGGATCTCAGCCTCTGGAAAGCTATTGAACTCATGCATGAGCAAGCAAAATCTACCACATGATTTATTCTGGGGTCACCCCGAGTTTCTACTGTCTTCCATGCAGCTCTGGAAGAAAGCTGTCTATGCGGAAAAAAAACATTCAGTGTTGGGTGGAGACCACTGAATGCTGTGTCCTCTGAAGCAGTAACAGATTCATCAGTGGAAGGCTTTTTTTAATCATTTATGGGGAATGCATCATATTACCAGAGCAATTGAAACCCAGGTAATCCTCTACACCACGCACACAGCAGTGAAAAAACAGCCAATGAAAACAGGTGTCTGTACTTCGAAAGAGCTAGAAGCCAAAGCAAAGGGAAAGCTCCTTTTCACATATATCTTTATACATCCAAAAATGCTGCAAGACATCCACCTTAAAAATGGTATTGAAGCCTGTGAATTGCTACTCTTGCAATTCAGTATGTGGAACATCCTGGATGACTTCCACAAGCCAAAATACATCAGTGTAAACTGTGACAAACTCTTGTTTCTCGCTGAAATAGCAAATGCATTAAAGAATGTTCTGTAGGAACTTAGAGAAGCTTCTTTTGAGAAACGGCTGGGTAAGATCTTCTGATGATTTAGCTACTACCAACTGAACAAGCCAGATGAAGCAAACAGGTTTCCCATGCTTATAACTTTCTTATGTTCTTATGTACTGTACATGCAGGACAAAACAGGAATATGTCTTTTTACTCACCACCATCATGTAATTTTCACAATCACATTTGGTGTTGATATTTTTAAATTTCAAAACTGCTGAATACCAGCTTCTCTCAAAAAATTTGCAAATGAAAGTTACAGAACCCACTGTGGGTTAATTCATCCTTACTGCCCACTTGTCACCTTTCCCCATAGTAGCTTATACTGTAATATTAAGAACAAATGCAATAAAGGCTACTTTTGCATTAAAATTACAACGCAGCAAGATCACTCTAGTTAAGGGTGAAAATGATACTTGCAACTCTTTTACACTACATTAATTTAAAAAATATAAATGGCATATTCTTCTGCTATAGTAACACTCAAATATTCTACATTTAATGAAACAGCTGAGACATTGAACAAAGCTAAAAAATGGACTGTTATTATTAATATCAGAAGTAAAAATATTTTTCTATGTATTTAAAAGTTTGCGTTCAAGTGTAAAAAACTCAAAATTATATAAACTTAAAAAAAAACTTTAAGAATGAAATAATTGAAAGTTCTGTACGTGGACATGAGGCTTGTGCTTGATCACAGAGCAGCTGGCCAATTTAAGAAGGGTATTCCCTTGTGCATCCGCCTCATTTTCAAGTAACAGGAAGTCACCATTAAAACGGAAAGTGCACTGCTATCTGTTAAAGGAGTCTAAGTGTTTCCATTAAGTAATCAGATTGTGAAGCACAAGCTCGTCTCTTAAAAAGAAAGATTATAATCACACTACAAATATGCATATTTGAAAATCAAGCTTTTTTAAATACCCCATTTAAGGTTAAACATTAAATTGCACTGTCAGACTTCAATGATCTTTTGAAAGTGGGAAGCTGTATTAAAAAGACTCTCGTTTTAATGGAAAAGGGGAGACTGCACTTTCTTTACTCTCGGTAGAGATCTGCTTATGCCAAGACATTCAAAGGGAATCGAAGGATATGCTTTGAAGTCCCGTTTTCCACCAATGTGTCAGACATGCAGGGAAAATACTTGCACTTAATTCCCTCTAGCAAAATGAAAATTCCCCACAGCGAGCTCTTGAGCAGGCAGCTCTGATACAAGGCTGAGATGCCCGACATTTAGCCCTGTAATTCTCAATTCAGAAGCTGATGTCTGGACAATAGACACCAAAGCTCCACCTGCAGTTCTAGTTTGCCAACGTGGAAGATGAAGAAATCATTGATCAGCTCCAAATAAGGTTAGAATGTCTCTGAGAGGCCTGTTTTATCCTTCTAAACAGTTTCAAATACAGTATGTACTGTATACAGTGCAGTATGCACCCACACAGATCTAGCACAGGAACATTAACTGTACTGTATGGCACTGCAATGATAGTTGTAGGTTTTAATTCAGTAGCAGATTAAAATGTGGAACTTCTGGTTCCCCTCAATAGGCATATACTGTATTTCTAATGCTTCAGAACATGCAGATCCTGACAGCCAGTGACAATGAACAGAAATGGTCCTGTATAACGTGGATTAGAAGGAGACACCACATTTGAACAGCACAGAATAGTTTTGCACTGCAGTTCCTGTTCACTGTAACGGTCAATGTAAAAAGATACTTCCCAAATGTTATCTTTCCTGTTGGCTATTTTCTGTCAATGGAGGATCTAATGCAGGTATACAGGAGCACAATCAGATTGCACATGAAATCCTACACTTTGCACACTATTTCTAATGTTCACGGTGAGTGGCAGAGCTTTCCACTGTTTTGTCTGACTCTAGAGAAACAATAAGCCTAGAATTTAAAATTGGTATTGAACTGCAAATTCTTCATAGAAAAAAAATCTACACAAAACTGTAAGGAAATACGGGACAAATTTGATGTCAAATGTCAGGCAAGAAAAACAGATATCCGTCCATTAACAGACTTGTAGAGGACACCTCTGAAATCCCTGAACTGCATTACTGCACACGTTTTTAACTCTTGCCTTTGGACACAATTCAGACCCTCTTTGCACTTCAAATGCTACTAATGCTTCAGGCAAAAAACACATGGCCGTGTTCTGGTCTTGAGCTCTGTGAACGCCTGGGAGACTATTTAAAAGAGGTTGCAGACGGGATGCAATTCCTCTCCAGGACAAACAGGTAGCCTAATCTGAATTTTCTGAAAACCCCAGCGTTTCCAAATACGTGTACAGTCCTTTATAAAGAAATATGACTGACAAAAATATCTCCTTCAGAAATGACAGGTACTTTAATTTGTTTTTTAGGTATGTTCCATACCTGTAGTTAGATAGCGAGGCTTAAATAAGCCTGACAATAAATGTAACAAACTTAAAAATGAATTAAATATTCCAAATATGCCCAGTTACCTGTTCCACGGTTCACTTTATAATAAAAATGATTTTTACTGTTTCACTTCCCTTATTTACCACTTACAATAATTAATTTAAGAATATACCACTCAACAAGCTGAATGGGAGGTGCACTTTAAAAGCTTAACATAATGTACTGTAAACAGCCAAGCTTGGGGAACCGATTCACGTTGTGGCTGTCAGAGAACCATCAAACACGTCAGCGGACGGAACGGTTAAGATGTTGAACACATCCAGCGATTTATCTGACAAAATAGAGACACCATCCTACTGCAGACGTTAATCTTTACTACCTTATTCATTAACCCCGTTTTTTATTTTTTGAAGAGTGCAGAAAACGAGGACCCCGGCCGTCAGAGACCCGACTTTTCGTGTTTCAGAAAAATATCATTCTCTTCAATCACCGTCATCTACGCCGCTGTTGCACACCCGAGCTTTGGAAGCTAGGAACCTATGCAGTACCGCGCTAAGACGAAACTTGTCGAGCTGTTTTTCTGCAAATGTCTGGGTAATCGTAATGATGCAGCAGTATTTCATACTAGCTGCTATTTCGTTGCAAGGATAGTCCTCTTCTGCCGTTTTCCTAGGGGGCGGGGGTCTCAAAACAACGATAATGAACAAAGCGTTATTTCCTGTTTTACACGCATGTCTTAGGACATGACTCTATACATAATTCGTTTATTATTTTAGATGTTGCGAATCATCACTTGATTGACAAAGACGAGAAGCTTAGAGATCGAGAACGACCAAAATAAAATACGCATTCCGCCGCACACTTCAAAGTTTAACATGTTCGGCGCAATACCGTACCTACACCGACACACATCTTTACACAATGCTAATATGGTATTTTAAAATGTATTTTTTTATAACTGGCATTTTCAATCTGCTGCAAGAGTATAACATGGTTTGTGTTTTAATTTCTTAAATTACAATTCGAAAATTGATCAGTCGCTTAGACGTGCTTCGCTACCACTCCGGAACTACCATCTCGCACCTTCGCTGTGTCAACGACGCGACCTACCGTCAGGTGGACAATTAATACAAGAACTTAACGAGGAGTTAAATAGTGATTCCTAATTTAACAAGCAATACCTTTAGGCTCTCACGAGTCTCCATCAGAATTAAGCCGACACTGTTTCCATTTATGAACTGTTTGCACATCACATCTGAGCTACATAATGCAGTTTCTTCACGCAAGAAAAACAAGTTAGAATGAGCCTGGCAATTCATATCTAGAGAGTGTTGCACTTACTCAATTTCAGATAAAACGGCCAGACACAAACGAGAATGGGGAATATGACTTCTCAGTCGAAAGTGAACCCTACTACTACTACGCGTCTTAAGATCATTGTATATATATTCCTGTTTAAAGCAAGCAGGATGAAACATTAAGTCAAAAAACAAACCTGTGTTCTGCAACATTGTTAAAAACGTTCAACTCGCATGCACAGTTGGCAAGTGTTGTGCAATAACGTTACATACAGAGAGCAGTTTACACGCAGGGGCGAAAATTGGCGATCCGAATTTTTTTTCAAAGTTTTGCAGAAACGTTTCGGAACCGAGGCGGCGGTCAGTGGGGAAGTTGCAGAACGAGTACAAACCTGCCACGGAGAAACGCCGATACCTGACAGACAGACACCCCACAACGTTATGATCGTTCGCAACGAGCTACTCACCGTTTGGTCCATATTTCTCCAAATTATTTTTTACTTGTTCAAGTGTCAGTCCGGTGTTCTCGTTCACCCCGAAGTTGTCTAGAACTTCGGATGCGGATTTAGTGTGTGCGTTTTCCATCTCCGAACATGTAGCCTGTATCAATAAATATACGTGTATTTGATTAGTTTTCTTTAAAAATATATATATCTAGGAGCTTTCCACCGTGATGCGTTTAGGCTGCCAAGCGGAGGTGGACCAGATAACAGAGCCACCTGCCCTTCTGCAAGCCAACGGCTTTAAAACCCAGACTCCGGAATCCTAATGCTGCTGTTCCCTCAAACAGATAAGTCCCTTCGTCTTCTTTACTTCATCAGAAGGTATGTTTGGTCGTTGAGTCCCGCCTCTTTCTTGTCTTTCTTTTTTTCTGGCTTCTTTTTGTGAGTGTGTTTGCTGACGCGTATTTCTATTGGCTCCTGTTACCTGAGATGACAGGAGTAATAAGTACAAACCCCCTACACTGTTGCGCGGCGTTTCCTACTCGAATATATTCCCAACCCTCTCACTCTTTAATGGGTTCAGACCAAGACACGCCTCACACCGTGAGGCCGGTTTGCTTTCCTCGGTGGGTTTGAAAAGACTCGCCTTTTCCTTGAGCTGGAATTGCTCTGTTCGTGGAGAGCCGTACCTGCCCGGATTGACAACAACAGAGCGGATCTTTAGCTGGGCTTTGAGGTGCGCAGAGGCAGACAGTTAATAACACAAACCTATTACACACAGCAGCAGTCTTTTCGAACTGTGCCTATTGGCTGGTGTGTAGTTTTCATATTTGCAAATAGTGTATAATATCCGTTGTGCAACACTTCCGCAAAAGCACCGCATCTAGTGTTCCAACACGCATCTGTGGTTGACGCAGCCCCTAAACGGAAAAACAAATCTTGTCAAACAAGAATTCTTTTCAATTTGAGAGAGAAGCTAATTTCGATAGCAATTTGGAGTGTGCAGTTACAGTATGTTCATTCCGTTTCTTTTGGTGGTATAGAATTTGAGCCTATAAAACGATCCTGCTACTAAGATTATTGTTAGTAGTGCAAGGGGCGTCTTGAATAGTTAACCTTGATTCGGAGGTGGTGTGACAGGTAGCGCTGTGAAATCATGCACAGCTCTTGATCCTTTTAGACACTTTCGCCCATTTCTAGTTAAAAGCTGTCAGAAAAACAAACTTAACACGGGAAAATATTTTCAATGGGTAGATGTTTTCTGTAAACAAATTGCATTATTATGTGAGGTATTTTACATAGTTGCATTGTAAATGCAAATAAACATTGGTGCATAAGTAAATAAAACCCATTACTGAAAAATGCAGTTTCCGTTTTTTTTTTTCGCTAAAAGAACGTGTTGCTATACTGTAAGTGATGTTGGTTCACAAGTAGGTGTCTGGCACTAACATGGATTTCCAAACCAATGCACCAGTATAGCATCCAGGGATGCCACCCTTCAGGTGAGACATTAAATGGAGGTCCCACTGACCTGATCATTAAAGATGCCATGTCACTGCCTCTGCGTAGAGTAGCTCCTGCACATCCCCCAGGTCGATGGTGAATAAAATGGGTCCCCTCTTATAGGCAAAGTGCTTTGGGATCCCTTGAGGATGAAAAGTACAATCAATTATTGTTTTAGAAATTAAATCAATAGCTTTAAAAGAGCATGGGAAAATATACAGTAAAGTATTCCAAAATGGATGCTGTTAAGTTAATTGGTGGCACAGACTGGCAGAGAAAAACGGAAAACAGCACCGCCCTGAGATACTGAGTCTGACACCCCTCCCTGGCACCACACTGAAGTCCAGGATTCATGTAAAAGGTATTGGTTAATTTAAACAAATTTATCAAGCAAACTGCGCTGTGGAGCAATAAAATTGAGTCCATGAGTAAATAGGGCCAGAGGGAACATACACCCACAGGCAATGATAGTGCAATCTCTGCACTGACTCGGTGTGGCCACTGTCTGTTCCTACTCAGCTGTATCCTCAAGAGGTGTCACTCTCTCCTGATGCAAACGGCTGCTTTCCAATAGGAATGTGCTTCCCATGTGTGCCAAATATTGTGTTTCCTTGCTGTACCATTCTCGCAATTCTGTTGTTTAGTTAGACCATTTTTTTTAAATTCCTGTACCAACAAAGCAGCTTCTGGAAAGCAAGACTGGTGCAAAAACTATCTTTACATGTCATGTAACAAGAACAGAATCTGCTGACCTTCTCACCATCCAAAGTTAAATCTTCCTCCCAGAGCCCTGATGCAAGAACATCCGTTCATCCTAGCCTACAGGAATTGCATTTCAATTTAAAAAATAAAAATGAACACTACCCAAAAATAAACAGAAGCAAAACAAACCGGGTATTGCTGTGGTTTGGAAGTGGAAGTTGAGGAAGAGCCAGTGAACGAATGTATCACTGCTGCTTGTGAAATGGAGGTGTGTTCCGTTCGCTTGCATGTCAGCTTTTCAAGCCAGCACACCTCAGAGTCATCCCTGACCTTCAGCGCAGGGTTCCTTGGTCAAAGACCAGGCTCTTCCGCCTTTAGCCACAGGGAGTTGAGGAAAACCCAATCCTGAAAGCTTATCCGTGGCTCTCAAACCGCTCTGTGAGCAATGCTGCAGTCAACAATACTGGAAATGTAACTCCCTAGTATCACCTCTTCTGTAACTCCTGCTGTGGGAGATCAATGGTAAAAAACTAAAACTTCTGGGGAAGGTGGAAAGACATTTCAGACAATTTCACACAATTATAATCAACTTACAACCAATCAAAGAGTGATAGCATGAGGAAAACATACCCACAAGGCACTGAGTGCTTAATTAAATACCAGGCTTGCTCACTGTATATCAGATAAAGAGCAACTGTACTAGCTTTAGAACTCAAGTAGGCCTTGGTATTCTTCCAGAAATTAGCCTTCTGCCCTTGAGTCGTCAAGCTGTAAAGGTAATAAAAGTGGGAATTTTTTGGTCAGGAGCGGACATTTGGAAATAAAAGTTTATTATAGATCATTTTCAGTGATATTCTTTATTACCTCAATTTTTATTCGTTTTCACAGGCTAGAGCATTGACGTTAGCAGGCAGGGGAACTGAAGCAACTAAGGGATTACTGAGTTTACATCTGAGATAAATCCTCAAGTTTAAACACTCTGTAAAAATAAACTGTAAATCTTTTAAAGTGTTAACTGGCAATGCTTCAGTATATACGTTTATAAAAAACACACCCTTTGTTTTGAGTGTCCTATTAAACTGAAAAAACATCTTTAGCAACAAAATTTGCAGGTTAAATGTGGTTGAAATACTTCAGGGTTTGGACTTCCTCTCACTCTATTAGTAATAATAATGATGATATATTGGGACGATAACAGAGTTTTGAGATCCACTGAAGAGAGATTTAGAATAGTGTGATTTTTTTTATCAAAGAGAGAAGCCAATGTTGAATATTTGTCACAGGTGTAAGATGGGGATGGAGTCTGAATTTTTTTTTGCTTTCTGAGTCAGATCTTTTTGACTCCAAGCCCGCCGTCAGAGGAAAAAATCCTAACGTATCAGCTAAGGGGGTAGAGTCTTCACCATTCTTCCAACGGAGCACACGTAGCAATAAAAAGCAGCCTTCTGTCGGTTTTACTATGGTAATGAATGAATGGTCTTCACATTTACATGCCAACACGAATCCTAGAGTGTTTACGAAACAGCTCTTACAACCATGGACTCTAAACCTTGCAGTTCGAGAAGTGGGAAGGATCAGAAAAGTTTAGAAAAAGCAGATTCTGGACACTTCTGATAATACAAAACACACACCAGCTTATCAAGATCTGCTAGTTGCATGTATTTTAAGAATTTGATCTGTTAAATGTAAGGAGTATTTTTTGACAGAAATTTAATATTTTACCTCACTTTGTCACTCATAAATCTGGAGCTTCGGAAACCCAGCTGGATCTAATCTGAACAAGTCTGAAGCACAGACTCCTGTGGTCTTCTGCATGCACTTCCTGAGGTCTACAATAATTATGAGAAGGTTAGGATGGGGATGTGTACCTGCTTGCAAGTTGCAAAAAACAAATAAAGATTAATTCTACGCTGAAAAGTAACAAGAAATGAAGAAAACAGCTGTGTCAAGAAATTAAGGAGAGAACCTTAAAACACTTTCTGCAAATACTACAGACTGAAGCCTGAATTAATAGTGTGTGGGACTCATACAATTTGTTTCTTTTTAAAATGTGAAGATATAGTTTTAGTTCTGTACCTCAAGAACAGCTCTTCTATGGCAGCTTTACTATGGCTTGTCTTTGGTATGCTTCCTGGTGACAATGGCAATCAAACGACTGATAAATGAGTCTTGACTGAGTGACAGATGAATGGATGAGATATGGATCTGGAACAAATAGAAAAACCTGAGAAGATCCCTCTACAGCCCCTCTGCTTTGTTATGTTTCATACACAAATAGATCCAAGGCTATTCTTTAGTCAGCATTTCCTAGTCCTGAAGGGGATCCCTGCTCAAAGAGATTGCTGTATAAGCATATTCCTCATCGAAAGCACACTGTGTTCCCTAACTCTCCCCAGGTACATTGTCACACATTGATGAGTAGACCATGTGTGGAGCATGTCGCAGCAGAGACTATGCAGGGAATGAAACCTCTTTGGTTTCCTTTAAAGTTTGTGTCTGTAGTGAAGCAAGTCTTTGTCTTTCAATACATGCTCTTAATTGTCCTGTATAGAATGAGTCTCATTATAAAACATTAAAGTTGAAAACTTGAAAGACAATCAATTTTATTGCTCTTTTGATGGTTCTATTTGCCTTTCATTGGTTAGATTTAGGGGTGACACAGTGGCATTGTGGTTGGGCTGCTGCCTCTCAGTGCTCGGGCCCTGGGTTCAGTTCTAGACTTGGATTGCTATCTTTGGAGTTTGTGTTTTCCCATTGTTCATGCAGCTTTCTTCCCAAAGTCCAAAGACTCACTGGTAGGTCAACTGACTTCTGGGAAAGTTGGCCCTGGTGTGTGTGGTTTGTGTCTTCCTTGTGACGCACTGGTGTCCAATCCAGGGTGTATCCTATCTTGAGCCTGTTGCTTGCCAGGACATCACCTGTGACCCTGGATGGATTCATGTTTTAAATTGACATTTTGAGCAAACAAATACTAGTAGTGCAACTGTAGCTTTCTCTGCAAACATTCCTTCAAGTAAAAATAAAATGGTCAGGACTACGAAAGGCAACAGCATTTATGTGATTTGCATGATTGAGCTGCTGCCTTCTACAGCCCTAGAAATGAGTTTGTTTCATTCTTTCTTCAGGTTAAAATGTGATGCTGCAAACACATTCTTTGGCTTGGCAAGCAAAATGCTAAATATAGCTCTGTCTGAAGTCACTGCTTAACTCCTATCCAGATCATGGTGAATTTTCATACAGCTAAAAGCCCTTTTGTGTTTTACTTTACGTAGTGACACTTTATCGCCTGTTGGCAAGTCTGTAAGGTCTGATAAAGTTCCCAGTTGCTTGACACTTATCTTTCACATTGCTGTCCAGCCATCAGCCAGTTTTTTAAGAGCCACCTTTAAACCACCCACATCAGGCATGTTGCACTTACAATCTTTCTGGACCTCTGTGTGCCCTGCTGTGCTGTCACTCACTGTAATGTTAACACGTTTTCCTGTAACATTTGAAGTGTTAAAAAATGCTAACAGAAAACGCC